CCAAGCTTTGTTAGACCCCATTGCATGTCCGTCCTGGTTAGTGTGGTGTGAAGAGCTGTTGTTCTCAGGGCAGGCTGCTGCTCTTTCTGGGGCTAAGGTGTGTGATTGCATGCCCTTTGCCTTACTGATCCTAAAAGGCCATGTAGGAACCAAGCCCTTCTCCGTCTTCCATTGCGTCTGCTCCTACGCCCATGGAACACGATATTATCGAGATTCCTGAGATGCCATCAGCTCCTTCTCCAATTGTCCTGCCTTCTGCCATTCTTGCTCCGTCTTCATGCATCATGGCTCCCTCTGGCACTGAGGCACTTGCTTCTGAGACCCCAACCTTATTGTCATCACAATTTCACCCTAGCACCGATAATTCATTGTTTCTACCTAGCACGCCCAGCACTCCCGCCATGGAGGTCGATGCTGACGGAGAGCCCAAAGATGATGAATCTGTGTGCCACTCTGACCAGGACGAACTGGCTGATGATGAAGAAGCTTCTGCTGATGATTCTTCACCTCCTCCATCTGCCGAGGCTGTTCCAAGGAAAGGGTGAGGCCATTCATCCAAGGTCGCCACTGCTGTCCTGGACCCGCATATGTGCTTGCTGGTTTGTACCTTCCATGACTGATCCCTGTCTCCTGAGTACCTGTCTGCATGGTGCAAGCCTATCATTGCATGTTTGGTAAGCTCTGCCCCTTCTCCGTTCAGAGTTCTGTTGACCGTTATAGTGTCGTCATTGTCTTGAGTTCGAGAAGGTGACCTGGACCTGCATCCTTAGTAAGTTCGAGCCAATTTGCCAGAAGTGTCACCATGACCACAAGGCCTATGTCTGGTGGTCGCGCTCTACTGTCTTTGACTTGAACGATGACTCTGGTTGGGTCGGGCTCGACACCATCTACTACCAGCATCACTGGCCTTTGCCATCTGCTGTTGATAGAAACGTGGCCTCAAGGCAGCCTCTCTACAGATGGCCTATGACAAAGCACAGTGCAAGGCCAACCGCGAGGGCTCTGCTTTTGCTAGGTGACTCGGCCTCCCTCAGGATACCTTCATCGACAGCTACAAGGACTGCCTGCCTGCGCTCCCACAGCTCTGTAAGTTTCTTTCCCATGTCCTATCTTTTAAGCGTGTTTTTCTAACATCCTTTTTACAAGGCTCAGTGCCGACCATCTTGGCTGAGGAGAAGGCTGCCTCTGCTGCTGCGAGACTCAAGAAAGAGCCTAAGGAGCTGGGCAAAAAAGAGCTGGCCCCTACTAGCCGTACATTGAAAATTCTGCCGAGTCGCTTCAGTATGCAGTTCTCTGCTCCCTTCATGTGTGTGCTAACCATTTTTGCCTTGACAGATCTGGTTACCACTCGCACTTTCAAGTGCACTCACATTAACGATTTGGAGCCTGAGAGCAAGCACTTCTGTGTGCTGCCTGAAGAGCCCGAGGTCACCACATCATCGAAGATGAAGTCGTCGAAGGGCAAGAAGTGCACGAAGGGTTCTGCTGCCATGTCCTCATCGAGACTGGCTGCCACTGATGAGTCCCTGGCCACTGTCACTGCTGAATGTGATGAGCTGCGGACATGCCTTTCTGCGACCATGTCGCAGTTTAATCTTCTTCTCCAAGGTTCGCAAAAGATGGCCGCGAACAACCACAAGTTTCTTGGTCACAGGTAGCTGAATCTGAGTATCTCTCATGGGAGGACTGGCACAGCAATGCCTCTGAGCTTAGCCACGGTTTGTTTTTGTACGCTGTATCTCGTGTTCTGCTTCTCCGTGTGCGCGGAGCAATGTACTCGTCGTCTCTGGTTGCGAAATCTATGTTGCTTGTTTGAAACCATTGGTATGACTTGAATAAGGTAAAAGAAACATTAAGATAGGCTTGTGATTGAGAGTTGAGCTAGAGTTTTTTTTTTTTTTTGAGGAGTTGAAAGGAATTATCTTGAAAACTGTCTATAGTGCATTGCTGACTCCCAGTTGGGGGCTACTTTTCGCTGTCATCTGATTCTTCTGCCTGCTGGTCCTCTTCTTCACTCCTCGATTCTTTTTCACTGTCTTCCACCTCAGGTTCTTCCTCTCCTTCATCCTCCGCTTGACTTATTTCCTTGAGTCGAGACTCTGATGCATCTAGCATTTCCTTGGATATGGTGATTTTCTTTCTTGTTGTGAAGGGTACCACCTTGAATGCTGCTATTGGCCTGTCCAACACTGCTTCATCCAGCTCGGAGAGTACGTACACTCCTCTCTGATTGCGAAACAGCACAACGTATGGTCCAATGTATCGTGGTTGCATTTTTCGGTTAAGCACTTTTTCAATCTGAGTGTGTCATACTAGGACTAGATCTCCACATTTGAAGTCGAAGTTCTTGATCATTTGTCCATGTACTCATTCAAATCGTTTTGCCGCTGCTCTCCTAGCCTCGTAAACAGCATTGTGAATATGTGCGACTTGTTCTCGACATTTTTGTAGTGCCTCCGCTTGACTGGCAATCAGGTCTGTGGTGGTTACCATTCTGACTGGCGCCAGAATCAAATAGATTGCTTTGACTATATCGAGTGGTAATATGGGTTGGGTACTGGTGACAGCAAAATAGGGTGAGCATCCCATGCATCTTCAGATGGTTACCCTCTCCGACCAAAATACTGAGTGAGCTACCTGGCTCCATTTGCATTCTTTGCCATCGGCGGCCTTAAATAGACCCTGCCTTACATCGAAATGCGAATGTTTGACTATTTCATTTGCACACGAGTTATAACCACTGATCTGGATGTGCTTGACATGGTACTTCTTTTCCAGATAGGCTACGGCTTTCACAAACGTGGCTCCGTTGTCCGTTACAATTTCTGACAGTGCTCCCCACCGACAAATGATGTCTTCGAAGATCCAATCACTAAGTGCCTTCGCAGTCTCCACTCAGAGCATTCGAAACTCGGGGTAGTGCACGAGCGAGCATCGTCCTTGCACGATATATTTGAATCCATTTGAGGGTGGCATGTGCATCGTATCAATATATATCTTTGTGAAGATTGGTGCTGGTATCGCAACAGTCAGCGAGATCAATATTTGATGAATTTGTCATTTCTGGCATATTTCACAGGTTCTGATGAACCACACAATGTCTGCACCAATATCTGGCCAACAAAATTGTTCACGCACAGCTGCCCGAGTCAGAAAAACGCCTCTGTGACCCAGCTTATCATGTGCTCTAGCTAGAATCTTTAGATGATGTTCGGGTAGAACCACTAGCTTGTGTGATCCCTGAGCATCCTTTCATCAAAGTCGTCCATCCCTCTTGAAGAAGTGCACTGCATATTTGAGCATGTGATCATATTCCCTTTCGGTCAGATCCTCCGGCTTCTGCAGTGTCTCTAGCCAGTTGGTGATTCACTCGATTAGTTTATCGTTCCTTCTAGCTCTTGCCGATCATGAGACATTAGTGTAGGGTATTGGACTTTGCTCTGCCGTTAACTCTGTTCCATTATCCACCTGTACTGGTAGTGTGAAAATAGCTTGAACGCCTGAATCCTCTCCCGTTTTGAAAATCGACCATCCTCAGTCACCAGCGTAGGACTCATGTGTTGCAATAGAGGAAGTATATGATGAATGAAACCATGCATCTGATCTACCCAGTTGTCAAACTCTGCATCCTCGATCGGTTCTGGCAGTAAATCCTCTGACTGTCTAGGTTGATGCGATAAACCATCTGGTCTGTGCATTACTCCTGGTACATGGACTAGCTTGAATTGGTACATCAGAATGGCAATGACCCAATGATTGATACTCGTGCTGGGTGCGATATCGGGTTTCTGCAACATTCCCTTGATGTATTTTGCATCTACTTCGATGATGAGATTCTGAATGCCAATTAAGTAGACCTTGAGTGCTCGGAGCATGTGGTATAGTGTGTATAGCTCTAGTTTTGGCTGCGAAAACCATTTTTCGCAATCATTGAGTGTGATCGAGCCAAACCTGTTGAAGTACCATTTCTTCGATCCGTCATTCGCACCCTGACACAGTTGATACTCAACTGCAATCAGAGAGGTGTCTACTGCCAGAATAACACATGCGAGAGAGTCGTAGTTGATGGCGCACAATGTGGGGGACTCTAATAGGGCTTGTTTCAAGTCCTCCATCACTTTGAGCTGAGGTTCTCTGAACTCAAATGGGACTCCTTTCCGTGTGAGCTGTACTAGTGAGTGAGCTCTTTTTGCAAAGTCCTTGATGAAGATTCTTGCTACTCTGATTGTGCCTAAGAAGGCTCAGACCTCCAAAAGATCTTTGCATTGCCCCCAATTCTGAACGGTCCATACGCGAGATTTGTCTGGTAGACGTCCTTCAGGGGTGCACCGATGTCCAACCACTGTGATTTCTTCCATGCAGAGCATTAGCTTTGTACCCGAGAACATTCCGCCTGCATACTCCATGTGCTGCACGACTCTGTTGAGGTTCTGAAAATGTTTTCAGATGAAGTGCCAAATGCCACCGTTATCTGCGATCATTTCAAATGTCCTGTCCAGCCTTTCATATCTAGTCGCTGGGCCCTTGACTGGAACATCATCGATATACGGCACCGTGTAGGTGGGTATCTCCACTTGCAGAATGTATGTCATATCGTCATGGAATATTGAAACTGAATTCGTCCATCCCATTGGAAGGGTGACTAGTCGCAGAGCTCCAAACGGCATTTGGAATGTCGTAAGGTCATGCGAGGTTTCTGCTATAAGCCACTCATCATATCCGATGTAAAGGTCCAGCATTGCACCACATGCCTGACTGCCAAACTGCTCTGCCAAGTGTTCTGGAGTCGGAGTGATGCCCGAGTGCTAAATCGTGACTGCATTAAGCAGTTCCAGGCTGTCAACGAGTCGCAAGGATTTTCCGTCCTTTTTGACTACACAGAACCACCGAGATCGATAGGATGAGTTCAACGGCTCGTATACTGCACATCGAGCTTCGGCTTGATAATTGCGCATACTTCTTTGTAGATTCCTGGTGGGATCAGAATATTTCGCTTGACCCAAGGCTTATGCAGAATTACTGGGAAGTCGATAGGTGGGAAGTATTCTGCCTTGAAGCTTCCCCTCTCTGAATCTCCCCATGTGAATGCCCAATTGTGTAGGCACATGAACGTGTGCATTAGCGCTCGTTCTTCCAGCCACAAGAATTCTGGCTTGTGCGTGGCATCCAACACCTCCATTCGCTCTTTCGTGTATCGCCCTGTCAGACTGAATGGTCCTGGCCACTCGGGTAGCTTTGATAGATTTCGCAATGGATCCCCTACTATATTGCATATGATTTTAAATTGTTCTGGTACTGACGTGATCACCGGTTTCATCTTGAGTGCCACCGGTTTATACTTTTTCTTTGTGGCTGCGTACACCGCCCTTGTACTTGAATCTGAGGTGGGTGCTAGCCTGGTCATGAATCGTAGTAACTGTGTGATCGTGGCCTTTGCACTTGGTACAATGGCTGAGGTAGCTGTGTATAGCGAGGATACTGCATCAAGAACTTGCCCTGATGCCCGCAGATAGCTAGACTGAACTGAAATGGGGTCAGAAGATACAACTGGGGAATAGGCTGATATTATTGGGATGTCTGTGTTGCTTATATTGATTATTAGGGCCATTCCATCACTTTTGGTAGTCGTATCCTCCATTAGTGAAAACCCGCATCTTTCTGTCAATATTGTGGTGCCCTTACTTGGGGCGGTCCTCTGGGTATGGTGGGAATGGTCGCAACTCTCCCCATGTTTGGGCATACGATCGTCACTGTTTGGTTCTCATCGAAGAAATTGTGCACAACGCTCTTGGTAAGCACATCAAATGGACGCCCAAGGAGAATGTCATAGGCTGCTGCCCGAATGACATGGATCTGAAGATAGAGGACTATTTCCCCAACTTGGAATGGTACGTTGCATACTAGACTGAGTGACTGGTTAACTTCTCCATTTGCTGATTGCATATTGAGCTTGATGGTAGGGGTCGTAGATTAGTCCGAGTGAATGACACACTTCCTCCGACATGGCCACAATCTGACATCCTGGTTCTAGTATGGCCTCTACTCTCTCCTTGTTGTCAACTAGCTTGATGATCAAGCGAAGCGCATGTGAGTCCTTCATGACTGTTAGCTGCTCAGGTTTATCGCCATGGTGAACATGCTTCAAATATGCATCATAAGGATCGGGGATAACAGATCCGGTAGCTGCTAGAGGCTCTCCATGACAGGTGAACTCCTTCTCCTGCCCGATAGTGATTGCTCCATCTCTGGTTAATTCTTGGATCGATGTCATTCCTGCAGCACTCGGGGGTATGACACGCTTTGGTGTGCATGCTTTTCAGTACTTGTTTCATACATCTGGCAATATCGAAAGCAGTTCTTCCATCGACAAGGTTACTGATAACGCCTTCATTGACTGTTCAAAAACTGTGTTTGCTAGCTCCGGTTGGTAGACTGGTGGTGCATCACGATAGGCCACATCACGTGCTCCTGGCTTTGGTGCTTGACCAAAATTACACATGTTCAGTGGACTGTAGAGTGTGTCTCTTGCTGCTCAGAATGGATGTTCTGGTGCACTTTCCGTGACTGGCGCAGGTGCACTAGAAGTTCCTTCATTAGTCTTCTCTATCTCCATTGAAGGTTTCTGCAGTTCGGGTGCCTTCTCTATCTGTGGTGGCTTTATTGCCATTCCTGCTGGTCACCTTGGTGGCATATACACACTGTCGAATACTGGCCTTGACCTTTTGAGGTT